CCCCAAAACCCCAAAACCCCAAAACCCCAAAACCCCAAATTCAAGCCTAAAATTGATAAAATAAATATTTAAATTCAAAAAGAGATGGGCTGAGGTAGATCAACACAAGGTAATTCCCTTCTAACAATTTAGCTGTCGATGCTGACTGGGATCCGGAGGAGCAAGACGAGGAATTTGACAGAGAGGTCGGCAAGAAAGGATTCTTTGCAGAAGCAGCTAGGAAATTGAAGAAGAAATGGAAACGATGCTTTACAAAGGAGTCCAAGGTCCAAATCCCAACAGAGTACGAAAACTTGTTCGAGAAGATCGATATGGGCGACGGAGATGAGTTCATGGCGGTACTTCCTTGGAAAGGCGCTATTCATGCTCCTGATGATCCACCAAAGTTTAACAAGCAACCTCCAGATGAGAGATATAAGCTCCTTGCGGCTTATGGAGTAAGGACTGAGGAGACCAGAGAGAACATCCATTTCAATCACAAGGGTAAAGTGGTGTACATGACTGCTGCTATTGGGATAATTAATGACCACGAAAACCGTAGACAAACTTTCTTCGGTGGCGATGAGGTCCCAATGGAAGCAAAGAATATTGCCAAAAGTCTTAAATCACACACAGATGATATCTTGTGTCTCAACCTGAACCATGATCGAACTCTGGTAGCTTCTGGTCAGATAGGTCACAAGCCTTTTGTGTATATTTGGGATAGTGATACAGCTCAAATGAAGACCCAAGGACGGCTTGATCCTGGGTCTCGAGGTGTGACTTCTATCACATTTTCTCCAGACAGCAAGTCTATTGCCTGCATCGATGGTACGGATGACCACAATCTATGTCTCTTTATGGTGAGTAATGGCAAGCAGTACTTCAAAATCCAGACAGGAAAGGATAAAATGCTAGACATTGCATGGGGAAAGACCCCTGCTAAAAGTTCGGTGATTTGTGTTGTCGGTAAACGAGCTATCAAGATCATCATTGATAAGAACTCTAAATTCGAAGAGAGCAAGGTTGCCAAGGCAACCATTAAGGCCAGCTACAGGACTGATTACGCTAGCTGTGACTTTACAGACGATGGCATGCTCCTTGTTGGGACTCGGAAGGGGAAGATTTACAAACTCACTGTGGATAGTTACACCTACGCATTTAGTAAGTCTATCGGAGCCCATAAGAAGACAGTCAACTGCATTACAGTTTTGGATAAGATCTTTCTGAGTGGTGGAAATGATAAGAAAATAATCATTTGGAACCTAGCCAAGCTTAAGAAGATCAAGATGATAGACACTGAGGCTCATGTCCGGTCGGTAGATTATCTCGGAGAGACTTTGCTCTATTCCACCTCCACTGGGACCATTGTCAAGAAGAAGATCAAGATTCAAGATAATGAGAAGTTCATAGACGAAGAAGATGACGACATCGTCATGAAATCCCATAATAATGGCGAAGCTTGGGGAGTCGCAGTGCATAAGAATAAGATATACACTGTCGGAGATGACAACCAACTCATCGTTTGGGACATGGTCCGCCGAGAAGTCTCTGAGGCCTATACCCTCTGGACTAAAGAGAATGAGAAGAAGGAAGGAGTCAAGCAGAAGACAAAGAAGAACCGTTCAATGAAGAAGATGACCGCTTCTTCAATGTCTAATAAGAAGCCTTTCTACCAGGCTCGAGCTATCGCTATCAATCCTCATGAGAAGCACATGGCTATCGCTTTTAATGACTGCAAGATCGTGATAAAGCACTTGTACAACCTAGATGAGCACATTCATGTGATCTATGACCCTAAGGAATGGTGTGAATGCTTGGAGTATAATCCGTCAATGACGAAGCTTGCTGCAGGAAGCCATGATAATAATATTTACATCTACGATATCTCTGATCACGGCTACTCATTCTATTGAGTCTTAAAGGGCCATAATAGCTACATCAGCTCACTGGACTGGTCTGATGACGGAGCTTTCATTCGGTCGAATTGTGGAGCTTATGAGCTCCTCTTTTTTGATGTTGAGAACAAAGAGCAGGATAAATCAGGAGCCTCAAACCTGAAAAACACAGAATGGCAAACCCAGAACTGTAAGTTAGCCTGGAATGTCCAAGGAATCTACCCTCCAGGCACTGATGGGACTCATATTAACGGAGTTGCTAAATTCAAGGAGAGAAACCTCCTCGTAACTGGTGATGATTATGGACTCATCAACTTGTATCGGGATCCCTGAAAGGAAGACTTTAGCAAGGCGAGGTCTTACCGTGGGCACTCTGAGCATGTAGTCCGAGTCCTGTTCTCAGAGACTGCCAAATACATCATTAGTATTGGTGGTTACGACCAGACCATCCTGCAGTGGAAGCTTGAGGGCGAGGACACTGATGAAGAGATCGATGAGGAAGATGAGCATGAAGAGGAAAAAGTCCAACCCAACCAAGAGCTTGAGTATGAAAACTATACCGATGACGATACTGACAGCAATGACGACGAAGCCCTTCAGAATGAATCTGGGGAGAATAAGAAGGAAGAGAAGCTTATTAAGCCAAAGAAAACTAAGAAGCCGAAGAAAAATGTCAAGCCAAAAAAGCCAGACTCTGATCTTGAAGAATCTAAAGAGTCTCAAATTAATTCTAAGGAAAAAGGAGCTAATGACTCCAAACAAGGGCTTAAACAAGAATGGTCCAGATCAAAGCTGAGCAACTCACGTTTGACTGATAAACTTGACGGGGAGAATACTCCGATCAGGACAGAATCCCGAGAGGATGGAAAGCCTCCATTCGACTCTGAAGTAGACCCAATTAACAAGGATGAAGAGGACATTGAGTAGGAATTATTAAATTTTGATCTTGATCGCCAAGATTAAATCCAACTATTGTTATTTTGAAGGGGTTTTGGGGTTTTGGGGTTTTGGGGTTTTGGGG